TCCCTGATGAAATTTAGAGCAGAAATTATAAGGGAGCAGTCTGTATGAATTTGGTACGGAGGTTCCTTTACTTGATGTGTGTTGTGCTGAACCAGAACAATCAATCAGTTGATCTAGTAGCTAGCTTGTACACGGGTTGGCAAAAGGCATGGGCAAGCAGAAAATCTATTGGGTGTATGACAACTCATCTACTTAGGCAACTGATCTGATCTACTCAAGCCGGCATGTGGCGCACAACTAACATATTTTATACATATACATCAGAATTTCTAGCAGAAATAGTAACGGAGCAGTCCACATACAGTTTTGTTGCGGATCTTCCTTTGCTTTGCTGGCGTCGCAATCCCTGATGAAATTTGATGGAAATGGTGATCAGTTAATTAATGGTTTTGGCAAGGAAGGCTTGCACTCGTCTTCCAAGCATGTACTGGACGCGAGAAAAAAGAGGTGACATGAGGGCACCTTGGTCAGAGGGGGCGCCACCATGGTTGCAGCGGTGTTCAGCTCCATGTCGTCAAGCAGCGGTGAAGATTGGTGGGGTTGGGATGGAGCGTCATTGGTCGAGGAGTCGACACCGGAGCGCAGCTACATCCCCCGAGGAGGCCGACCAAGTCCAGGAACCAGGCCTAGGGTTTGCAAGCAACAGCATCTGCAGCACAAATGGAAAGAACAAATCAGGCATAAAAATGCATGAAAATATATTAGGTAACTAATGGCAGCTCATATAGTTAGAGTTGAAATGTTACCTGCCAAATTTGTAATCCTGAATACCTCCGGTGAGTCTGACAATTTCCAGTTACACTGAATCTCTTGAAAACTTGTTCTCTTTCCTGGAACATTTAAATCTCGTTAATTGGCTGAAAAGACAGAACAACATGATGATGCAAAAGACCAAAATAGAACATTTTCTGAAGAAGAAATGGTAACGTTGTTCAATTTCCAGAAGAAACATGGAGATTGCAAGGCTGGTTTGAAGAAACTAAGGCTCAATGATCTATGGAACTTTAATGATGGTGAAGAATCTAAACTGAAATAGCATACCATACACACAAACAATCACAAAGAGATCATTTACCAACGTCATGTATTTACCAGTAACCACAAATTATGAAATCAACGTCAGAGCGAGGCCAAAATTTTCACAAGCTAGGGAAATAATACTCTTCACCAAAACCTTGCCATAACTTATTCCTCTTATTTCTTTCTCAGAGCTACACATTGCAAAAATAAAAGAAAGGTTCATGAAAGGGAGGAGTGGGCAGGCATATGAGAAATGAGCATTTGCAGGCATTTTCTTACTCCGTGAGAGTTGCTACCAAGCCCTTCGACATCTGGTCGACCATGA